GCGTAGAACAATATTCTAAAATTCCAGATAAATTCATGCTATCGACAGATCATCCCGCGTTTGCAACGTGTATCCATTCTCAAAGTTTCGGGAGCGTGTCACTTCGAGTATCGCTGTGACAAATTTCAAGTGGCCATTGTTACGCTGACAACAATTATTTATCTGAATTTGTCACGTTCGAGGGTGAAGGGACGAATCCACTGTTGGGAAACGGAGATTCAAATCATTTTGATTCACCTCGTATGTCTCGGTCAACCCACAACCGCGAGAATCCGTCTGGCAAATAAAAGGAAATTATTCACAGCTAGTTACTACTTATATATTATCAAGAGGTTTGTCAAGGTGATATGAAAGTGTCATATATATACATACCAAAAGGACAAAATATTAATAAAACTTATCTCCAAATTGGGTGCACCGAATCATTTGAAACTTCATCACGAGATTATGGAGGTCCTTAAGAAGAACGCGATGCTCCTGAAATTTCATTTTTCGAAAAAAATGTTGTAATTATCTCGAACAAGAATCAGAGAATAAAGATTCTTTTTAAAAAAATGAAATTTCAGGAGCACTTCGTTCTTCCTTAGGGTCTCTATAATCACGTGCTGAAATTTCAAATGATTCGGTGCACCCGGTTTGGAGAAAAGTTTCATAAATATTTTGACGTTCTATGTATGTAGAATGACCCTTTCATATCACCTTAAAGCGTACAATTGCTTTTCCAAGAATTAGGTAAAGTCGACAATTGTTTCCTTTAACAATTAACCCGCAACATATTCTTTTGAGTTTTGACACTAACCAAATTAGGATGGGAATACTGCCGAGTGTATGAAAAATGTACACTCAATGGGTAGAAGATAGGGACAATATAAAATATAAAGAGAGATAGAGAGGATGAAAAAAGCGAACTAGGCCGAAATTTGTGCACCTAGGGTGCAGGAATAAGTCTGCTCTCCAGAAATTTTGCAATGTAAAGGGTGGAAGGTATAAAATTCATTAATCCATTCATAATTTAGTGGGAGCAAGATCAATCGGTGGGAGCGAGATAACATCGAAAAATGCAAATTGGCCGTGGCGAAATAATTTAATCCTTTGAGTGTCACAGGGATCAGCGGGTGCTCTCGAACGGGTCCAAAGCCGATCCCAATTATCGGCGAATGTACGGACAATAAGAGCACACCTTCTCGAGCTTAAACCTGTGGAACTTATTTCGGGGAGGCCGCCGAAGGACCAAACTTCCCCAGTTGTAGGTACAACCCTACCGAACTATTGTGGCCGTATTAACACCTTGCATAATTGCGGGCGCTGCAGCTCATTGTGCGCTAAACATACCTCATTTGAATATCGGCCTATTCATATCATTGGGAACGCTAATATTTGAGCCATCTCGTTTCGAAAAGGGTCCGACCGCTTCTTGGGATGCTCCACGTTTTTCGCTACTCTCTCAGGCTGTCACGACGATTTTGGATCATCTGGACGAGCCTCGGTAACTCTTAACGATGTTGTTAGTCATTTATAAAGAAAGATGTACCAAAAGATATTCGCAAGGATTGATGTGCATTATCAAACTGAGGCAACGGTTTGAGACATGGGTCACGACGCTTTGGATCATCTGGAGGAACCTGAGTAACTCTTAACGATATTGTTAGTAATTTATATAAAAAGATGTAGCAAAAGATATTCGCAAGAATTGATATGTATAATCAAACTGGGGCAACGGTTTGAGTCATGGATCATGACACTTTTGGATCATTTGGACGAACCTGAGTAACTCTTAACGATATTGTTAGTAATTTATAAAGAAAGATGTACCAAAAGATATTCGCAAGGATTGATATGCATGATTAAACTGTGGCAACGATTTGAAACATGGATCACAATGCTTTCAATCATCTGGACGAACCCGAGGACCTCTTAACGATATTGTTAGTAATTTATAAAGAAAGATGTACCAAAAGCTATTCACAAGAATTCATATGCATAATCAAACTGTGGCAACTATTTGAAACACGGATCACAACGCTTTGGTTCATCTGAACAAACCTGAGGACCTCTTAACGATATTTTTAGTAATGTATAAAGAAAGATGTACCTAAAGGTATTCGCAAGGATTGGTATGCATAATCAAACTGTGGCAACGATTTGAGACATGGGAAGGATTTCTTTTTTTCGATGAAGTATTCTTGTTAAATCTAGATACAACTATAATGGAAGGGATAAATAACTGCTAGTGCTTCTAAATAGAATTTGTTGGTGATACACGCTACCTCAAGGGCAGTTACTTTTCCATCCACGGAAGTTTATGCAAAATTAAATTTAGAGAAGGGAAAGAGAGTTCCTTGATGTCAAATGTTTTCGTTAAATAAAAATGAAAGGAATAGAGGGAACCGGTTGCTTTGCTTTGAGGAAGGATCTCAATATTGGTGACCCTTTTCAGAAATAAATTCGTTTCCAAGGAAGACTCTTCTCTGCAAAGAAGATCCACCCAACCGTTGATAAGAGTTTATGTAATCCTATAGGGATGACTATACTTAGTTATCTCGGAGGTGGTTCCAGAAGGAAAAAACGAGATTTCCTTGTCGCCAATTGTTATCCTTTATGAAAAAGATTTCTTAACTTATCCTATTATCTTTAGTTCTTGTTGATATCTTGCAATTTCGCTCCCTTAACTTTCTTAAGACTTTTATTCAAAGGGAGGATCTCGCTTCTGTCAACGAATGTTTACACAAACCTAAAATCAGAAACGGGAAATAAGATTCTTATTACTTATCCATCCTCTTTCATTATAAAAATGATAAATGATTACTTCGATCACATCTTTTGATATTAAAAGCCCTCTCGTTATAATCCTTTTCCTTGCAGGACTTCCAGAGCTGAAGAAAAGTTCAAGGAAAGCTTACAAATTAAAGAAGAATAGGGATCTCCATTTAACCAACCGTTCTTTCTGAATAATAAAGAAAAGAAAAGTACAAAACAGTACTTAGCAGTTTTCCGTCTTCTACATAATCTGTCTGTATCAAGGACCCTCTTACAAGAAACTTCTTTCATTGCAGGACCTTCTAACAGCCAAAGGAACTTTAGGTAAACTTTAAATTGGAAATCGGTAAGGATTTCCTTCCAGTCAATCGTCCTCCTTAAATTGAAAACATAAAATTAAAAGCAACTGAAGATTTTTTGTAATCCCGACATATACCACTCCTCGAAAAAAGACTACAGCACTTAAAAATCAAGGATATGCATATCGGATAAATACATACATTGTTTAAATTAAATAAAGGACATTGTGGATATATCTCGGGAGTAACAAGAATTTTTTAAACCAAAATTGAATATACTATCTCATCACATTACCCTACACAATGTACGTTAGTGTCTGATTTGTGTGATATTTCTTTTTAGGTGCTGCGATTTTTTACCCTATAAATCAGTCAGTCAGCCCTTTGCTCTTTATGTATAGACACAGATTTTAAAAATTCTATTATTCTATAAGTCTATATTATATATAACGGAAGTTCCCTTGAAATAACGAATCGAAGAAAAAAATCCGTTCTTAAAGTACGTTCACGTTATAAAAGGAACGCATCCTCAAAATTTCTTGTTTCTAACTTCAGGAGAATGAGTTTGGCGATATTGAATCAGTCAATCAATCAGTCCTTGCTCTTTATACATACACACAGATTAGAAAAGTTAAATTATTCTTTATTTCAAGGGAACCTCGAAAGATTCGTTCTTAAAGGACGTCCACGTTATAAAAGGAACGCACCCTCAAAATTTCTTGTTTCTAACTTCAGGAGAATGAGTTTGGTGATGTTGAATCAGTCAATCAATTAGTCCTTTGCTCTGTATGCATACTCACAGATTTTAAAAATTCGATTATTCGTTATTTCAAGGGAACTTCGAAAAATCCGTTTTTAAAGGTCGTTCACGTTATAAAAAGAACGCACCCTCAAATTTTCACGTTTCTAACTTCAAGAGGATGAATTGGATAATGATGAATTAGTCAGTCAGGCCTTTACTCTTTATGTGTACACACAGATTAAAAAAAAAAACTTGATTATGCGTTATTTCAAGAGAACCTCGAAAAATTCGTTCTTAGAGGACGTTCACGTCATAAAAAGGACGCACCCTCAAATTTTCACGTTTCTAACTTCAAGAGGATGAATTGGATAATGATGAATTAGTCAGTCAGGCCTTTGCTCTTTATGCATACACAGATGATAAAAATTCGATTATTCGTTATTTCAAGGGTACCGTACCCCCTTAACACTCCTCCCGCCATAAATCGTTTCCCTTCCTGCGAGCAGAGAGATCCTCAAGGAGGTTTACACATCCCCGAATCCGGAAAAGGAGAAAGAAGATTTCTCGGAATTAGTCGTTTCGGAGTCCTCGGACCAATGGCGTTCCAGCAAAAGGGTTTCATAACGTCCGAGCGGGGTCCAAGTGCGGGTCGCCAAATTGAAACGACTCACTCCAGCTCGGCGTTGTGCTCGGGGTAAAATAAAATCCCGACGGCAGTAACAATAAACCGCAGGACCCTCGTCGTCCTCCAGGGTGCGGAGATAAATGCGCTATTAAGTTTGGACCAATCCCCGAGCTGGCTGATAGCTATTTCGCCCCCGCGAGTCCTGGATTGGTCCCAGGCTCCTCCCAGGGGTTGGTATCGATCATCCCCTCGCGACTCGACTTTCTCTATATAAGCCCAATCCCCCTGGGACGACTCCGATAGTCCGACCTGGAACCTAACCGGGTTTACGCATGTCTCTAATTACCCCGCGATTGCGTCCCTCGGGAATTGCTCCGGGAATTTCGGAAATCTTCGGGATCCCCTCCGACTCGGAAATTCCGCGAGTCGCGAGAGAGTTCTACCTCCCAGTGGCCTCAGCTTCGGATCCGCGAATCCTAGACACCGTTTTCGGGATCCTGTGCTTCCGTCGATGAATTATCCTCTCGGTACCCTACTAGCCAGTGGTATTTGAAGGTTTAGAGGACGTTTTGGAAAAATGGCGACGCACCCTGCTTACGAATTCGAGGACCGAGGTCAAAGAATTAGGCACCGCGTCGGGGCGGCCTCCAGGCCTGCTGACTCCACGGTTGCGTGCACTAGGTGATCTTTAGCTCATCTTCGATTCTTTTTCATATTAATTGGCCCTTATCTTTTTAACAGAGATGTTAGTCTCTTACTCGGTAATCACGGATCAATATTGAGAGAATCTAGGTAGACGTATTAAGGTCCTAGATATTGGTTACTGGGTTCTTGGTGCTATTGGGTTGATGCATAAGTAATGGCATTTTCTTACACGGAACGTAACGTATAAAATACGCCATTACTTATGCATCAACCTAATAGATACAATTGGACAAAGTCGTGTTGCTTCATTTAGGATTTTGCTCCTAAAGGGTTGTATAAGGGTGGATTCAGAGAAACCAGTAAATAGATGTATTATATGTTAGGTTTTAAGTAACGTAGTAACAGTTTATGTTCAAAGTCAAGAAGGGTAATTGAATATCCTGTAATATTTAATAGATTATTGTCAGAGCCTCATTATACGTTCTCCGAAAGAGACATTGTCTGGGAGGAAAAAAGTTTTAAATGAAATCTACCAATCTTAGGATTAAAAATTCTGTGCAATTATCGTTCGATCTTCGTACAACTTTGGTACGACATATTAAAAAAGATCTTTTCAGAATGTAAATCAATTCTAGAACTGGATAGCAATGCAATCGAGATTCGCCATTTAGAAGGAGACTTAAAAATATCTGTTTCGCCATTATCGAGAATCCTAAAATAACTCTTGAGATTTATTAACAGCAAATTTCTCTGTAGTCTTGCTCATTAAGCGTTTCCACATTTATTTATAAATTACTCACTGAATATTGCTGCTCGTGTACGAGTGTTATCACTTGATATCTTTGATTTTAGTACTTAATCCCACTATATGGATTCAATTACTCTTGGTGCAATATTTCTAAAAAATAAATTAAACTGCTTGCTGTCTATTGAACAGTTTTCATTTTACACGGAGAGTTCAAGCCGATGGCGTGGACAAAAAGTGAATTTATGAAACTTGCTCACGAAGAAATGTCAATTTTAGTCCTCCCTTGCATCGTTACGTTAGGCGTTTCCTCGTGAGGAGTAAAATGGATAAATTCTTTCCTCAGTGCGCAATATTACGTGGGTCCAAACAGCGACATCAGCGAGGAAGACATTGCGGAATTGCCGTCTTGCGTTTACGCAGGCAGAGCAACGCAACACGTGGCTCACGCACCACCGCACACCCATTCCCCTCTTCATTATCACATGCCAGTGTCAACTCCAGGTAAATAAAAAGAAAAAAATACCAACAACATATTAGCGTTGATATATCCAATATATATAAAAAAAAACTATTAACTCATTGCGGACGAGTGTCGGCAAATAGCCGCCCAAAAGCCTTCAGAAAGGAAGTCCCGTCCGCAAAGGGTTAATAACTAAATAATTTGTACGAACTATCTTGTGACAATATAGGTTGCTTTAACTTCCTATGAATTACATATATTTGTTAATGCATTTTGCGCTATTGTGTTGATATATCGAATATATAGAAAAAAAAACTATTAACCCTTTGCGAACGAGTGTCAGCAAATAGTCGCCCAAAAGCCTTCAGAAAGGAAGTCCCGTCCGCAAAGGGTTAATAACTAAATAAACTGTACGAACTATCTTGTGACAATATAGGTTGTTTTAACATCCTATGAATTACATTTATTTGTTAATGCATTTTGCGCTATCCTTTTGCATCTACCACTTAGGAAGCTTGCTTAACAACCGGCGGCAAATGACCTTATAAATGTATTGTACATTTACGTAAATTCTATAGGAGGCAAATGTGACGCAAAGGGTGTAAATGTATTTCTACCAAGATAATTTATTAACAATTTGTGTAATATTCGGTATGCATGAAAGTAATTCTCTGATTTTTTTTTTTTTTTAATGAAGAAGTATATTCTCGGAAATTAAATGAAGTTATGAAATTAGCGTATATTGAACTGCTTAGAGATTAGTAATGTATTTGTCGTAGCCAGATTGTAAAATACGGCGTTTTGTAAAAACAGACAGTTAAACGTTTGTCCAATTAGCTTCATTTTCAAATCCGGCTGGTCATTTCATAAAGCGTTTTATAAAACGACCAAAGAGACACCGCCGAATAGTCAAACTCATTAAATTACCGTCTGTACCGGCTAAATGATTTCGGTCATTCTATAAAAAGCGTATTTTTCTATAATTCAACTTAACCCAACCTACCTACTTACATCGAATAAAGTATATTATCATCTATATATTTGTTCTACTTATGTATATACTGATTACGTGAATAAAATAAAGAATGCTATCCTAAACCCTTCCCCATTTTTTAGTAGAATTTGTTGATTAAAACCGTATTTATAATATACCAGAAATTATTTAATTTAATTTAATAAAATAAATTAAAAATTAAATTAATATGAAAAGCAGACAGTAATTTAATGAACTTTATATAAAATACCTAGTCACTTTATAAAATGATTTGTCGGATTGTAAAATGAAGCTAAGCCAACGAAGGTTTAACCGTCTAGCCGTTTTTTATGAAACAATATGGCTAGGCTTTTTACAAAACGCCGGTTTTTACAGTGTGGCTACGACGTATGCATATTTGTAAAATGTTTTGTTATGAAATTTTCAGACCATCCCGATACCGAGTTGAACGGAGTTGAAGAAGGTTATTACCCAAATGGTAGCCCGTATAGAATCCAAAGACATGCCGCCAACATTCGCGAAAGGAAACGAATGCTCAGGTGAGAAAGATGTCCAAATGTTATACTTCAGACCAACTAAATTTAGTCGAGCCCTTGAATCAATATGAATATTTCAACAACTCTTGAAAAACCTAAATCACCACAAAAACACCTGCGGTGTAAAGAAAACAAAAAAACGTGCCAAATACTCCCTAGTAGCACAAAATATTTGTCCTATATTTTCTATACATTTAACGACTATCGTACATTTTGTAAATATTTAGCAGACATTTGAAATATTTGCCAAACGTTTACTTTAGAATATTATCTCTATAATATTTATATTATATTAGCTCCATGTGTTTTCGTAATATTTTTCTATCAGATATACAAAACATTTCGTTTCATTTTAATATAAGTATTTTTTAAATATTATCTGCCCAATACATTATAAAGGTTTTAAAAATATTTAAAATCAAATTCACACGTTTTGCTCGTATAATGAAATAGCGGAACGAAAATATTAGAAAAATTTCTCCAGTTTTTTGATACCAAATGAAGTGTTCGATAATAGTCGTGAAGTAAAAAATGTACTTTTATTATGTTAATAAGTTAAAAAATATAATCTCTCTATATGTTTATAAATTATTGAAACTAAATATGTCATTGAGATTTTCAACAAATATTTCGGATATCTTCGAATTGAAATCTACAAGAAATCTTAAAAATCTGTCGCTTGAGATATTTAGCAAAGATTACTAAGAAATATTTAGAAATTATTCTATGCTACTAGATTCTATTTGAAAAGTCCATTTTGCATTTCAGCTACTCTTGAAAAACAAGAATATTCGAAAAGAAACAGCATGGAATCGATATCGAGAAACTCGGTAGAGTTTCGCACCAAATATTAGGTGTGAGGGAAAGTTCTGTCGTTTTTAGAAACATAGAAGTGTACGTGTTAAAAATGGCAGACTTTTCCCTTACATTTTCCCTTATATTTACACGTCCTCATCAAACCCTTAACACCAAATTTAGACATGTTGAGAATGATTAACTCCGTATCTAAGATTCCTCCTGGTCCACGACTGATTACATAAATATAGCAATAGTTATCGTGGTTGTTCTATCAGAATTAATAATATTTTTTTTTAAGTTTATACCTTTCGAAACTTCACAAATTTTTTTTTCTTTTTGTAAACCATCAAGACGGTTCCAGGATTATTGATCGACCGACAATATAAACAACATTACCGCCCTTATTAATTTAATATTACTTAATTCAGAATGTTATATACACGGTGTTCGCTTTTATATCTATACAATTAAAGATAGTTTATCCTCGTCTACGAATGGTATTACAAAAATTACATATAAGATTAGTTTGAATTCGGTTTGACTGAAGGATCAATAATCATGAAAAAAAAGTTTTGATTATTATGCTTATTATTCGACATTTTACATATAACAAACGATCTGGGACCGCCTCTGAGTTTGTCTGTCCAGGTGCTTGGACACCTTTTGCACCCCCTCCAGGAACAGCTCTGTAAACCAAATGATTTGTCTTTAGTCTAACGAAAAAAGGGAAACTGTACATAAATAAGTCGTATAATTATTTACTGAATTAAAAGAAGTAATAAAATGTCAACATTTTAGAGGAATTTCGGGAGAACTATTGAAACTGCCGAAGGATTGAACTTTCCGTTAATGACCCTCGGGAATAACGAGTAGCCAAATTGTAAGTGTAATTACGATTTTTAGCAGCATCAACTCGGCTTTCGACGAGCTTAGAGTTCACGTGCCGACGTTTCCCTACGAGAAGAGACTTTCGAAGATAGACACGCTACGATTAGCGATTGCGTACATAGCTCTACTTAGGGAGGTCTTAGCAGCAAGACTCGACCCTTTGACGTACGTGGAAAGGTGCCTTAGGGGTGAAATTAGTGGCGAACGTGCCGAGTGGAACACAAGTGGTGAGCCATAAACGTAATAATGATAATTTCCTTTAATTTGTCATTCATATGAATTCGTTATCTTTTTTGTTAAAGGTAACAAGATGTATATAAAATGAAAGGTCCTTGGACGGATTCATTTCTATTTTCTTATATATAATTTCCACGGTGAAGAAAAAAAAAAATGCAGTCATGNCCCTCGTTTGCTAGGCATAAATATTTAATTTCATTAATTACAAGAGTTTTATAATAGTATATCTGATAAACGTCATCTATGATAATTGAAGATATGTCTAAAAACGAGAATGTAAAAACATCCTTTGCTGTGTCCTTTTGTCTCCTCTGTTCTTGATGAACCGTTCTGTTCTTTCAGAACTCATGGATAATTGTTATTTCTTTCTTCCAGACTTAACGGCGAGGCTGTCATGGATAAATTGGGAAAACTTGGGCGTGAACCCACACCGACGATCCGTGCTGACAACTCTCGCTCTAACGACAGACAATATGAATTAATGATGCTGAATCCGAGCGACGAGCGATTCTTTCTTTGTACATACCTTTCAGTGGAGCTAGAGTACCAAAAATCCAACTATTTTAATTTCTAGTCTATGTGCAATACATGCGCCGCCGTGAATTTCGTATCTAGCGTCTGAGTAGCGTACTAGCCAGTAACAGTTAGTATTCATTTGGAATAAAACGAGAGAACCGTACATCAATGTGTATAATCTTGAAAAGAAATAACTTGAAAATGTAAACATATACGAACGTCCCAAATCAATTAGAGACGGAGCGAGTACTGGTAAAACATCCTGCTCCATAAATTTCGCCAAGTTTGTAACAACAGACATTTAATAATATCAAATCGATCAGCGTAGTGCATGCAGATTGCCAAAAAGTCCGACAGGTGGCCCCACTTTATTAACATCTGAAGGATGCTAAAGGGTGGAGTCGACAAAAGCGTTTTGCGACTGCAGTAAATTTTCATCAACCGATGAATTAACCTGGTCGGCGGAAAAGTATTCCTCGAATCTCGCCCAGAATTCCCATTCTGTTCGGGCGATTTAGCGATTTACCCCTGCGATTATATCCAACAGAGGTAAATTTCCGTCAAAGGTGATCGTGAAAATTGCCTAACGTATTGAAAAAAAAAAAACTAAGAAGAGGAGGAGGAGAAACTATATCAAGGTACCCCAAGCGACCCAGTTGCCATTTTCCCTGACTTCGCTGCATCGTCTACGTGTAAATATTTTTCCGAAAAACAAAGATTTAAAACATCTTTAGTAAGACATAAAATATATCGAGTAACCTTTTGAGGAAAGAAAGAGTTAACCGGAAGAGCAAATCGTCGCAGAAAAAAACGGAATTCCACTGTTCATTGATTATTCCAAGTCCGGGAGAATCGGGTGAGTTTGCCACTTTTTCAGGGAAATTGAAAGCTACGAAGATGGAGGAAGTGAGGGCAGAGGATTTCTATGATCGAACCTCTTCCGGGACGGAAGACGACGAAACGAACGCTGGGGAAGAGAAGGTCAGCGATGTCAATTATTCGGATAAAAGGTGCTCTGACAAGATGGCAAGCACTGACTCGACTGTGCTGAAGTTCCCCGAGGAAGGGTCCCCGGAGGTTATCAATCTAGATCAGCCGATAACTTCCAGAAATATGCAAAAGGTTACCGCAAATGAAAATCCGCGAGTGATCGAACTCAGCGACCGGGATTCCAAGATGGCGCTGCACCGACAGTTCAACGTCGACTGCGCGAGCCCAGCGCGCTCTGACGGCGACGCGGAGTACTCGGTAACCAACGACGGCGCGACAAGCCTTGAGATCCTGCAGAAACTTCCACCAGGAACTGTGTTGATAAAACAGGAATCTTCGAAAATTTACCAAGAGGACAGCGATTACGTACACGAGTCTTCCAAGGACTCGACGGAAACTACAAGCAGCGGCGGAAGTACTACTTCCGGCACCCTCAATAAGCCAAAAAGGATCCACAGATCGATTCGCAGTAAAAAGTGAGTACGCCAGAAGATCAAAATAACCCAGAACTGATTTCTAATCGTTTGAGGTTACCGATGCAGTTATTACATTCATTTCAATTTTTTCTTTTGTACTTCCTAACTTGAAGGTCCATTAAGATGAGACAATTTCAAAATTGTAGCAAGCAATAAAATATACTTACCAACGTGTCATAATCATTTCGTTAATCACTCCATTTTATAGTGATTTCTTTTATTTAGCCTAGACTAGAATCAGAATCACATTTTCTTGTGAAAAATCTAGTTTCACGAGCATCGCGTTCTTCTTTAGGGTCTCCATAATCACGTGTTAAAGTTTTCAAATTATTCGGTACTTCCAATTTGCCGAAAAGTTTTGTAAATATTTTTACGTTTTATATGTATAGAATGACCCTTTCATATCACCTTAATTCGTGATTGTGAACATTTCGTTTAATTTAATTTGCTTGCCCAAAGGATCACAGAAGTCCGCAGGAATCCCGTCAGGGTCACGAAGAAGGACATGAAGGACAAGGACTTCCCGAGACCGCGACAACGACTACTTTCTGTGAGAAGAAGAGAAGGTCTCGTTATACCGGAAGCGAGTAAACGCTCGAAATCTACGACCATGCCTTACATGAACACGAGGTCCGTGACTCGAAAATTATACACTGTTGGTGCGACTTATCAAGCACCCACAAAACGAGACGAAACGGAGTGGAAAGAGTGGCCAGTTCATGGAATGCACGAAAGGCCAATATTTCATCCCGAAGTAATTATTTCATCTAAGAGTTATTAAGATATACAAGGATTTAAGTTCATTGAATGCATGCAAGGCCGATATTTCATCCAGAAGTAATTATTTCATTTAAGTTATATTAAGATATACAAGAAATTAAGTTCATGGAATACATGAAAGGCCGATATTTCATCCCGAAGTAATTATTTCATCTAAGTGTTATTAAGATATACAAAAAATTAAGTCCATTTAGTTATGTATATATTTAATATTCAGTGTATATCGGGTTAAAACCGAAGTTCGCTTTAAAAGTTAAAACCATGTTAATCTCGATGTCTAAAGTTAATCAGAAACACTGTATAAGATTGTCGTGTAATTTTATCTTTTTCATGAATACGTATTTAAATGATGAAATTTATCAGAGTCAGTGCTTGATCAATATACAATCTTACTGTCCAGACATTCAAGAATGAACGAACTCAAAGTAATTCTTAGTGTGCATTTCGAAAAATAATAAGCGGCAATGTCGGTAAACTTAAGTAGTAAATAATTACCTTCAAAGACCTTCAGTTACTTAAAATTTACATGAATGGCATAATACCGAAATGTAAATCATTTTAGGTGGGATTAGCTGCTGGATACAATGGAAGAGTCTTCACGAGCTTGGATGGCTATTCTTATCAGGAAGTCGTCGTGCAGCCGGAAGTGGAAATCGTATTAGTGGATCCACAGCCAGAAACATCGCTAGAGGAAAAGAAGAAGAGAAAAGTTGGAAGCAAAACTAAAAAAGGTGATCTAGAAACCAACCCCGAAGACGAGTCCTTTGTAACGTGTATGCACGACACGTTGCACTCAGTCTTCGCATATTGCACCGAAGTGATCAGTCCTTCCTACAAAGAAAACGTAGAAAAACGAATTGAGTCCCTTGCATCCACGTCAAAACAGTCAGAACTAACGCTGGAAAAGAAAAAGATGAAACTAACAAACTGCAAGGAGATTCCTGGCCCTCCAGAAACGTTGCAGAAGGTGAAAATAAAAACTGAAAATCCGAAAGATGAGCCGAGTTCAGACGCCAGGAAAAATCCAAGAAACGATCCGGGGATTCCGAAGGCCGAAGAAAGTCGGAAAAATGTACAGGAGGTTTCTAAAATTGCCGTTCCTGCTTCTTCCGCGTACTTTTTCTCTCGGAAGCCCCTGAGCGAGCTGTCCAAGATGAAGAACCTCCCGATAAGTCAGACGAAGCTTCAAGAAGTGCTGCAGAACTCCCCGAGGAACACCATATTGTTGGTGAGGACTGCTCAGTCCTCGAAAACGGAGAAGGTCGTTACGAACAATAGCAAAGTTCCCGGGAAAATCTGCAGCGATCTGAACCTAACCAAGCTGGAGGATTTCGCCATCAGCGATGAAACCTTGATGGAGATATCCTCAGTCTACAAGAAACTGGTCCCAACGGAGGAGCAGGATCCGAGTTGCGAGAATTCGCCAAAGAAGGGCACTATTTACAAGAAAATACCAATTAAGGGTCTTAGTGATAAATTGATTCCAAAGCCAATTGGAATTAACGTTGCTAGATCTGCTATATCATCTCCTAAAAGGCATGACAATATCAGGGTCTTTACCACCAGTGAGTCTAACTCGGGTCGAGGACAGATTCTTTGCCAGATGAAAGACCCTAGAGACCTTAAATGCGTATCGATACGCCCTGCTGACGAGTTCTGGAACACGAAAGAGACCTCGGAAATAGCCAGAATCCTTTCAGAATACAACAAAAGCTCCGTAAAGCGACCTGCAATGCAGAGCATTTATTGCTCTGCCGCTGATCTTTCAAGCCCGAAATTAAAAGCGAGGAGACTGAAGGACTCCGAAATCACGGAGGAATTAGAAGGTGAAAAGAAACCTGTCGGGCCTTCTGAAACCACCATTGAATTCAAGATACAACAGAAGAAATGGAAAGAGTTAATAGCCTCGCGGAAGCTGGAAATTAAGGAGAAGCAACAAAACTCGGATTTTACCGTGTTGACGAAGGTGTGTCAAGAGAAGGATTCTCGGATTATTGAAGCATTTTCCTCTCAATGTCAGATTGATCAGAAAGATCAGAAGGATCAGAAATTTAAGGAGGAAACGCAGCAAAAGGTTACACTGGAGAAGCCGTTAGATGCCGATGATGAAAAAAGAGTAAATGCAACAAACGGGACGCAATGGCTGCAAGAATTGCTCGAAGACACCGCAGTTCTTTATTGCGCCGCTGCTGGAGTTCATCAGGATGATCTTGTTAACTATATTAATACATTGGATACTAAACAAAGTGCCCTGTGGCTGAAAGAACGAGAGAATTACGTATAAGGATGGCACTGTTTAATTCACTTGACATTCCGAGAATTCGTTGAAGAAATACTCGGAAGAGTCTCCTAAGATGTGACTCGAGACGTTCTGTAATTTAAATAAAATGATTTGTAAAGTCAAAACAGGACGCACAGTCTCTAAATTCGAATATATTTAAATATGCTGATATAAACTCCAGGTGTGTAAAAGTCAAGTCGTATTTAAACAATTCATGCGCATTCCTGGCACCGTTTTACGAGCAACACCGATTGCTGTAACTGGTATAGGAAAGTTGTTGCCTTTTATTTAGCAAAATAAGACCATCATTAATCCCCGCGTGGATGAAAAGCATACACACGACGAGAATGCCGCTGTAGAGAAAGAAAAGAGCGATAACGCCGAGACTTCTTTGTCAATCTCTGTTCTGACGACGTCGATGTCGACTATATCTGAAATTACACATGATGAACAAGTTAACGTACATTCGCGCTCTAATGCCCGGTCCTACCAACCTCGGTTAAATCATTCACTACCTAACCATAGGTTAAAGATAACGTCTAACAAAGAAGGTACCTGAGGTGTCCCCTTCCGATTTTGTTCATTTTTAAATATGTTATAGAGGACTAAAATCTAAGGGACCCGTGTTTTTTTTTATCGGCGGATAAACACTTTTAGGGGGTGAAATCAGGCTTCAAAGTTGGCCGTGAAAGGGAGTGAGTTTGCTGTTTCATATAGAAGCACTCGGCCGATTTTCATGGAACAACCGTCAAAATGTAGGGAATGAAGAATTATGAAACATACATTTGGAATTTTTCAAAAAAATGTATTTTTAAGGGGTGAGCCACCCCTTTGAATAATTCTTTTACCCCTAATCTTTTATTTTTTTGCCAAGACAATGTTCTAGTGCTTTTTTACATACAAAAAAATTGATTTTCTTTGGCCGGTTTTTTTTTTAAATCTGTGCGTTAAGGGGTTAACCGAAGCTAAGCGATCGAATTTGACTAGTTAATCTAAACGGCGGTTAATCGATAATTAACCCGCTGTTAAAATGTGGAGGAACGGGCAACTCATTCTAAACGAGGATTAGTTTTTGACCGAGGTTAGTGGAACCAAACATAAGTCCAAAAAGTCCTAGTTTCTGAATCCAAAACATCTCTTTAAAACATACTCAACAGTTTCCAGTTAAGAAAATGAATCATTGAAGATTGCACTGGAGGTGAAAACTATTATCTACCTCCTGTCAGATTCGGATTGATCATCCTCGGAAGCGGTTTTACTCTTATCGACGTCCTCTCCTGAAGAAGTTGAATCTTCCGTCTCAATCCTGTCCTTGCGACTTTTTCCGGAATTTTCGAGTTTCGACTTTGCGTTGCATTTCGAACTTTCCGCTGATTTTCTCTCTTTCCTATTCTCGCTAGCTTTATCGACTCTTTTTCTTCGTCCGTCGTCCTCGATGTTGCGTTCGCGTCTGGTTTCCTGTCCCCGAAAGGAATTTCTCTTATTCTCTCTTTTCTTCTGGATTTTGTCGAGCTTGGAAGAATTTCTGGAACTGGAAGTAGAGTATCCGGTGTCTTGTCTGGCGCGTCTAAAATTGGGGAAATTAATGTCAGTAGACACAGATAAAGTAGAAAAACCATTACTATAACCTAAGGAATGTATTAAATCAGACGATGTGTGTCCTGGCGGACATGAATGTCTTCCTATCACGGTAAAAACATATTTACACAGAACATATACACGTCCTTGACTGCCTTTCGGAAGTAAACTTTTCTAAGAATTAAATAACAACTGTTTTAACCTCTTATTCCATTATTACATTTCCAAATAAAAGTCTAACATTAAACTTTTAAGAAAATAAAAGTTATCCCAATTGCTGATCTTCTCATCTCGTCTCGATGGCCAAACTGTGTTACGTATGTTCAAAATGTACTTTTAGGATGATTAATCCAATACGGGTCAATACAATCAAAAGATACTTTGCCGATATAGCAGAATTTGTCACCGACTAAAGTCGGCGCTCGTAACGAAAGGGTTAACTCGTTTAGAGTCATTATTTTCATAACTTGTATGAACAAACTTCATTTACTACAAGTCATCCAAAAAGGATTACAAGAACTTAATTGGTGTAATCAAATAAGAATGTTGCTGATGTGTAATAAATTGGAACGATACCATAGAAAAAAATCACGGAAAAATGAATTAGTACATGTTAGAAGGACGCGTAAAAAGAAAAAAGGATTGCGTAAATTGAGGAACCAGTGTACTAACTGGCGATCTAAGCAGTACTAATAACTAAATGAAATGTAATGTTCTTTCTTATTTTATGAATTAACCGTTTCTTTCGTTCCAAATTCCTCGGTGAGTGCTCATATCTGTCCAGCTCTTCGGTAGAGTCCTCGGAGTCCGTATAACTCGCTTCCAAGTCTTTTAGACGGCGTTTCCTCGATTTGTCCACTTCTCGACGCTTCCTATATCTATTATCGTCATACATGTCTGCCCGTGAGATAATGCTTATACTCGGCATCTCGTATTTCCGCAACTTTTCCTTCCTCTTAATTTTACTTTCGCTTTGCACGACGTAAAGTCTGTACAGCTGCAGAAGTATCACCAGCGTGTTCTTGCACGTAAAGAAGATATTCATGTAACTGACTATCTGGTAATGAATTATCAGGATCAGTCTGAACGCCAGAAACGGTCCGTCCTAAACAAACACACATTCCGTTTGTTAATAATCAAGTATACGTTGATGAACTTATAGTAATCCCGAAAGTTTCTTATCTACATTCCTATGTTCAGATTACTTAGACAAGATATTTCTTTAAACTGAAGTTAAATTTGTTGAAAATGTTAGTTCTGCGCGGGACAATGAGTTTGTTTCTTTTAATTAAGCTTAAACTTCAAAGAAAATTTTATCTTACTAAATGGTGGAGGGAAACAAGGGCTAGCGACGCATGAAATTTTACAATTGGTATATCGATTTAAGATGATATGAAACGCGATGAGAAATTTAATCGAGGTCGATACATTTAAAGTCATCAATACCCTTTTTGGCGGTAATGTCATTTTGAATACTCAAGTGGGAACATAAGCTGGCGCGTCACTTTACCGACATTTATATTTATATTGAAGTCTTTTACAGTCTGCGTTGATAATTATGCGAACTGAAGCTTTCCATATGTCATTTCAATAAAGTAATGGAGAAAGGATTGACGTAAAACTATCGAAATCCCGTGAATTCATTATTCTAACGACTGTCTAGAACAAACGGCGCCATCTGTGACGTTTAGCTGCAACTAAATTTTTATTTTAAAAACACGTGTTAGCCCCTGGACAAGCTCTTGCAATCGTTGGTGAAAGTATTTTCCAGATTTCTCCATCTGACACTGCAACATTTCATTTGTACGGTATTCTAAATTGTTCGTGCTAGGTCTTGAAACTCTTCATTTTCGATTCTAAGCCTCTAAGAAGCGTAAAACATCGAAAACGTGCCCGGACCACGTTGGTTCTAGTCCATGATAAGTAAAGAAATTTTTCATGAAAAATGAAATTTCGTGAGTTTCAGGACCTACTTTAGGGTCTCCATATTCCCGTGGTAAAATTTGAAACGAATCGGTACACCCAATTCGGAAAATAATTTCACTTCTAATTTGGCTTCTCAGATATATATATAGGCTGACTCTTTCATATCATCTTAAGGACCCATTGTATTTAACGATATGGCAATGACTATCGTTTTGGGACAAGAATTTCTCCCCTCACCTGAAGAACCATGTTTAAAGCGATTCCCCAAACGTCGATACTACAGCAACTAGTTTCCGTAGGCACCTTCTTCTTGATAGCACTTCCGGAAGACAATCTGGATTTCCTCGACTTCGTAGCGGTCAATACGACTGTAAATTGCATCAACGACCATGCCCATATTCCTAGAGTCAAATACACAAGTACCGGCTCTCGAGCTATCCTATCTTCCTTAAAGGAATCAAAAAACTCGATTATATCAGCCGCAGTTCCGATGTACACCAAAAGCAGCTGGCTCAACTGGTCGCGAGTTAACTCTCCTTTTGGTAACATCCATCTACCGATTATTAATATTAGCATTAAAAATTGCTCGATTAACGTCACCCAGGTCTCGGTAGATATTTGGATGTCGGGTAACTTGATGTTCACCTAAAAACATGAAAACAAGAAATAATTGTATTAATCAAAGGGATTTATAATTGATAAGTACTCCTAGTAAACTTATGAAATGTTAACACTTTAGCGACCGGCAAATTTTTTCCCTTTTAAATATTGAGTACCGGCGAAAATAATGAAATTCTGAAACTGGTTGCCGCAAACTTGTATCGTGTTTTATTTTGCAATTCTTGCAATTTAATTTGCAATGACGTGAATTCACGTCAGCGGTCGCGAATGTGTTAATCCTTTAGAACGTAACGCGTTTAAAAAGAATGGTTTCAATTCATCAGGGAAGACACGTTAATAATTAATTACATCGATTACATGCGTATACGGAAAAAAATGACCAGGAAAACGACAATTCTGATAATCGACACCATGTTGTTCTGCAACAATAAGCATCTGCATAATATGGGATAAGCTTATCGATTATCACAACGATTTTCACAATTGTGTGTTGTGTGTTTTCACCATGGTGTCGATTATAATATAGGATAAGCTATGGGAAATTATGGCAACTAAAGTGACATAGTAAAAGTACAAAGTAACGGTTACCTCACTGTTTAGTCAAAGTAATTACGAGGTACCAGTTGATATAACGTTGTACTAATTGTAACATCACTGCATGGTTAATATTACCATTCCAAATGGTTATCACTACTGAAACCTTTTAGCGCAGCTTCACAGATACAACAACTATTGACAAGATTACATTTACCATTTAATGTGATCAGTCTCATCATTTGTGTAATTCATATTACAACATTTTATCCATATTGCCGTAGTAATTGTAGCCAAATTATTTTTTTTCCGTGTAAGTAATAATTGATAAATAAATTATACGGAACTAAGTGCTGATATGGTACATAATTGTCGTCTTCCTTTTGTTCTATTTTGAATTTCCAATGTACGTTTTGGAATATTCTGCGACGATATTATAAAAGGTTAATCGGTGTTATAATTATTATATATCATTTGTCATCGTTTAAGTTTATGTGTGCGTTATACATTATTTATAGCGTAATTAACAAATATGTTTGTAAAACGCGCAATGATAAACTTACTCCAAAAGCTCTCTCCAGATGCTTCAAGTCAGCGCTAGCTAAATTCGTTAAATCGAAGGTCTCGGATATATTGAGGTTAGGTTCTCGCACGCGTATTCTTCTTTCAACTTTGTCTAATTCCAGGAGCCAAATTGCGGGAACGACGCTGCTGAGATACAGGAAGACGGATGGGCAAAACCTGAAATTAAAACGGTCTTATAATTCACATTAAGAGGATGCGGAAGTGGCATCTAAGAGGTCGATCGTTTATGAAACTTTTCTCTGAACTGAGTGTATCAAGTCGTTTCAAACTTTACAATATAAATATAAAGGCAATAAGAAAGGTCCTGATACCCATGAAATTTCATTTTTTATGAAAAATGTTAAAAACACCTGCAAACAAATTTTTAAAAATTGAATTTTCGTAGGAGTCAAGACCTTCCTTATAAGACTCCATATTCACGTTGTAAAATATAAAACGATTCGATACACCCAGGTCGGAGAAAAGTTTCATAAACGAGACCTCTTTGACTCCACTTTAACATAGCCTTGAGGTGATATGGAAGGGTCGTTCTACATGTTCGAAGAAAAATTTTATAAACGAGACCTCTTTGACGCCACTTTAACATCGCCTTAAAGTGATATGAAAGGGTCGTTCTATATATTCGGAGAAAAGTTTCATATACGAGGCCTCTTTGACTCCACTTTAACATCGCCTTAAAGTGATATGAAAGGGTCATTCTATGTATTCGGAGAAAAGTTTCATAAACGAGGCCTCTTTGACGCCACTTTAACATCGCCTTAAGGTGATATGAAAAGGTCGTTCTACATATTCGAAGAAAAGTTTTATAAACGAGACCTCTTTGACGCCACTTTAACATCGCCTTAAAGTGATATGAAAGGGTCATTCTGTGTATTCGGAGAAAAGTTTCATAAACGAAACCTTTTTGACGCCACTTTAACATCGCTTTAAGGTGATATGAAAGAGTCATTCTATGTATATATTAAACGTGAAAATATTTATAAAACTTTTCTCCAAACTGGGTGTACCAAATCATTTGAAACTAACACGTAATTATTGTGATCCTTAGGAAGAACGCGATGCTCGTGAAATATAATATTCCAAAAATATTATTTTTTTATTTAGCCTAGACTTAAACCAAGATCCCACTTTTTGTGAAACGTGAAATATTACGAGTATCGCGTTCTTCCTTAGGACGTTCATAAACATGTACGAAAATTTGAAATGATTCAGTGCATTCAGTTTGGAGAAAAGTATTATAAATATTTTTACGTTTTATATATATATATATATAGCATGACCCTTTCATATCCCCTTAATACATATTACCTCTATTAAAGGGACTCTAGGCTGGCTTTCAACCAATCATTTTAATATCTCAAGAATATTTGTCACAATACTCCAAACGGTCATGAAATGTTTTCTTTACAGAAATTGTAACATTGTTTATCTAGGGTGTGGTGAATTTCCTTTTAATGTTTTCGTTCAGAATTTCACAAGAAGGGACGCTTGTTCTATCGAACGAAAACTCCAAGGGACGTAAAGCGAGATTTGACCTGGTTTTTACGAATCGACGAGGTTTCGCCTCGATATGAGGTTACTAATGCTCAATTTCCGCCTGTCTACTGTGAAACGGTCGCACAAAAACGAGCCCTCGCCCTAAGAATAATCGACGCCGTTTTTATAACAGGGGTCGAGCACTGAAAAATTCTTCGACTCCTAGGACATTCATTTTAAATCCTAACTCTTGTATAAACAGTTATAATCTAGTACTTAGAATTTTTAATTTAGAATTTAAAATTATAATCTAATATTTAGAATTTTTAATTTAGAATTTAAAATTATAAACTGGCATTTAGAAACACGTTTTGCACCCTCTTGCTGAATATCTTTTAAGGTGATATGAAAGGGTCATTCTGTACATCAAAACGTGAAAATATTTATAAAACTTTTCTCCAAACTGGGTGCACCGATTCATTTTAAACATTAACATATTATTATGCAGGCCCTAATGAAGAATTCGATGTTCGTAAAATTTCACTTTTCAACAACAATTTTTTTTACTTACCCTACACCGGAACCAAAATCACATTTTCTTGGGAGAAATGAAATTTCAAGATAATCCCGTTCTTCCTTAGGGTCTCCATAATCACGTTTTAAAGTTTCAAATTATTCGGTGCACCCAGTTTGGCGAAAAGTTTTACAAATATTTTTACGTTGTATGTTGTAATGTATATAGAATGACCCTTTGATATCACCTTAATAATCCCAATTCCTTAAGAACGTGCGACATTTTCAAACTAAGCGAATACATTATAACTTATCTTCAAGCCGTTATTTATTAACACATTCGCGACCGGCGAATTTTTTCCGTTTCAAATACTGAGTACCGGCGAAAATAATGAAATTCTGAAACTGGTTGCCGTAAACTTGTATCGTGTATCGTTATGGACGTGATTCACGTCAGCGGCAATCAGGAATAGAATTCGAAAAGACGTGAATTCACGTCAGCGGTCGCGAATGTGTTAATGCAATAATTCCATACAAAATTATCACAAAGCCAGATTATGTTAATAATTCAAGTTGAGTGAAACATATGTTAGAAAATCTGCTGCAAAGTGTAAAACGAAAGAATATATTTACGTTAGAGGTATTGATAGTTAAGTCCTTACCATTTCCACTCTTGATTTTCCTTGATGGTGAGAGTGAAAATTCCCTCAAAGAATAATAACAGGATAGGACAACTGAGGTACCAGAAGAGCGGATTTTTCTTGAAAGTTGTCACTTGCCAAATCGCAATGAAACCGTGAGCGGCGAAAACCAATCGCGTTAATATAGCCTTGATTGTGGCGAGGAATCTCGCCATTGTCTACAAAATTCCCTCCGGAGTGAACTGAAAAGTACTTAGAAACCACGTGCTGGTTTCAAGCTAAAACATCTCACCGATGCACCATTGCAGTAAATAGATTATTTTTATGAATACTTGCACAAACACGTAAAATAAGAAGTAGGGCTCATTTTTCATATCCACGTGTTAAGTACCGCATTAAAAGTAAACTTCTATTGGCAAGAAAACTACGGCGGAAAAAATGAGCACCTGTAAGTACGGAAACCGAGGGACTACTCTGCGAATACTGTGCGCAGTCGCTTATCAGTTTCAAATGCGCGCGCGCAAGTGTTACGTTCAAGATGGCGCTGCCATCTTTTGGAGAGCGATGCAACTTTTCAGCTTTTAAATTGAAAACCACACTCAGAACTCGCTTCTAAGGTGATATAAAACGTGATTTTTACCGATCAGTGCCAACCTACTTCCTCAAATATGCTTTTGTTTTTTAATGCATGAGCCGATTTGTCTAAAATTTGATTATAAAGTGATTATAGAGATACTGAGACCGTTCCCCGCGTTCTAAAAATTCCACTTTTGAACAAATTTTCTTATTTACCTCGGACCAGAACCAACCTCGTCACATATTTTACACATTGTTCACTTATAGAAGGCAAAATAACAATTGAAAGTGTGAAGAATCATTCATTAATGTAAAGCATCAGAAATAGAAAATTATACATTCGGGCTCGAAAAAAAAAAGGGGAACTAGTGTCTCTGAGCAACGTAAATGTTTTAGAACAAATATTTAGTTCTCACTGGGTGCATCAGATGGTCCTGCAGTCGATTAGAATATTAAAAATCATGGATCTAAAAAAATTTTTTTGAATTTTACTTAAATGATTTTATAATCATTCTACCGAAACATGTTATATATGCCATGAGAATTATACTATGTCTTATCACTCTTAATACAATACCGTCAATACAAATGTAAACATCTGTAACGTGGTGCGCTGTTTTAGGTAATTTATCAGTTGGAAAAAGTGATCTCAAAAACAATTATAAACGCAGTAATTGTTAAACTTAGTTATCTATTATCTGAAAACGAATTATTAATATTAAAATCGAATTTTAGTATTATCGAGTTATTTTTATTTTCACGCACGCTTTAACGGCATTCGACTTTCTTTGCCAAAAGACATTAACGGGAAAAGATATTACACATTTCATAATTGTACAGATTCGATATCTTTATTTGTATAATCCCAATGATACAAATCTGAAAATTATTTTAATTCTAACTACAGCGGGGAAGAATTTTTGAATTTCCGCGGGAACTCAATCTGGAAAGAGATGGCGGTATCTGTCGGCTAATTATTGGAACTTATACCCCGAAATAGAGAATTCTACTTGACAATATATTATTAACCCTCAATAAAGTACCGACGGAAAGGTGCATTAAGAATTTAAATAATTCTACGCGTTCTTTAAAGATATTGAAATAAAACTATTGCTGTATTACGGACTGATATTTAGATAAAATAAAACTATATAAATATTATTTCGGTGCGTTGAGTAACTCTAAAGAAGAGTCTCCAACTCTATGTCGGTAAAACAGGGTTCTGCCGGACGATAAATGTTTTGCGGTTTTTTTGCCGCGCAGTTGAAGGTTTCGCGTACTTGCCAGGATTTCCGAAGGCCGTTTCTGGAATGGTTCCGGTAAATCGTCATAAGACGTAACGAAATCACATTCGAGAGATAAAATGGTGCGCTTTTGAGAAAATCCCGCAAAGTGAGTGCACGTCGGTTCTGTAGACTATCATAGTGCGCTTGGCCGTGGAGGTGCGCAGACTCCGGAGAAATGTCGAGACTGTCCAGTGGGTTAATCTTCTCGTGTAAAAATGTAAATAAACTATTAACCAGCTGACCAGGCATCGTCGTCACTATCAGTGTACCTGCAATATGCGTGTAACCGTCTACGTGGCTGATCGCACGAAAACCCAAAGGTGCGTATGCTAGGTTAGGTCCGATGGATCATCCCGCATCGCTGCATGCCGAGTGGATGCACTCTACTGCAGCCGATGCTGCAGCTCGGTTTGACGTTAGCATCTTCTTCGGTGCAACGGTACGTCGAGCTCTGCAAAAGGTATGCATTGTAGCTGCCTATCTACGTTTCAAACATGTTCTTCAAAATGTCATTCGAGTGATTATGGAAATTCTCCCTTGCTGCTACTGTGTAGCTTTTCTAAAGATAAAGACCGAATGCATGTGTTGTGTGTATCTTGGTGCTACGATGCTGCTGGTTTTTAAGGACAATCAGCGTATTGAAGCACAGTATCTATATTAAGGAATGCTTGATAAGACGTTTGAAGATCGTGAACGAGCAATGTGGTCTGAGCTGTGTTGACCGTTAAGGTAAGGTGACGAGGTAAGGAGCATGTATTTTGAATCGTTTCTATTGTTAACGATTAATAAAGTGCATTTGACCTTACGTCATTCTAAATGATGAATGTGAATGATGTTTTTGCCAATGCAGGGCAATTGATTTCTTAACTTGTGAGAGTAGCGATAAAGAGTGCGAATGCATTGTAATGTTGAAATCCTGTGACATGTTTTTCACTTGATAGCATTGAATGTAAGTAAACGGGTTGATAGCCCTTGTGCTTACATTTAATTAGGATCCCTCGGTCTTTGGTATGATATTATGGATTTGTGGCTACCGATGGAATTCATTTTGTTAAATGTAATTACGATATAACGTTGAATCTTAAATTAAATAATTGTTTAATAATTCTGTATTATTTCAGATGAACGTGTCCCTGTACGCAATTGCTGGTGCGGTTGTGACATTATTTGGTGCACTTCTCGGCCTAGGAACCGTTTTACAAATTCTCGTCTGTCTAATAATAATACTCTTAGGGTAAAGTTAATGTCTATCTCGTTGTATCAACTATTTTTGTTATGTGAGTACATAATATTAAAACTCTGTTAATTTTTCAGACTATTAACTTGTATATATAGGCAATATTCTCCGAGTCTTGAAGATGAAATCAAGTCCGGAAAAGAAAACTTACATAAGAAGACTGAAAAATTGCGGCAGGTACTAATAATCCTTCAGAAAAATTAAATAACATTTAAAGAACATTGAAATTCTCCTTAAACACTTTCTTTTCTAGTATCTTGATGAGGTGTCCAAAACAAAAATGACGTTCACTTTAGATAGAAGAGTCACTGGTAGTCATATTATCGACGAATCCTTACAAGTACGTATATCCATTGAATACTCTTAATTTCTATCAAAGTTATTATTTTGATAACACTTTATAATCTCAATTTAAACCATTTCTAGGAAATTTTAGATTTTGTTTTAAGAGACTATGTGGAGCCATGGTACAGTATTCTTACGGATGACGAAGAATTTCCGAAATCCGTCCGAGACACAGCTCAGAAAATCGCCATTAACGTTGCAAACAGGTACGCACATGCAGATTAGTTTACATCGTAACTCTAATTGCACTATTAAAAGACTAAAATTAGGGGCTGTAAGAAGTAATGTCATAAATTCCATAATTACTTTTATCCGACAGAGTAAAAGACGTGGATTGGATACCATACTTAACAACCCGCCTCGTAGACGATGCAGCTTCGCACATGCGATTGTACCGTCAAGCAAGGGCAAAGATGAAACAGCTTCGGTCTAATAGAATGCAAAAAGGAAGCAGCAGCTCGAGTACATCAGGCGGTACTCCCAAGAAGACTCCAACTCATCGTAGAAACAAAAGCGAAACTGACATTTCCTGGTATTCGCAGTCAAAGTTCTACGTTCCTAATTTGTCATCTTTAACCGAACCGATCGAGTCCAACGGTGAGAAAGGGGACGAGTCGTTAGAGAAGATATTCTTTGATCTTGAGGTACAGATGGAGAACAACCTAATCTGCCGAGACCTGGTATGCACGAGTCCTGCACAGGAACTGACATTTTTGGGCGAATTGTCAGAGATCCTTCTCTATCTCTTGTTGCCAAAGGTGGATTTCGATTGTTTGATCGTTAGATTTATTTTAAGAGAGCTCCTTGTGAATGTTATAATTAGACCACTGTTGGACTTGTTTTCTGATCCTGATTACATCAATCAGGCGTGTATATGGCTGGTGAGTGTACCAAATCAAATTAATGTTATTTCTGTAGTTGTATCGATCTATTATCGTGAAATTTGTATGTCTGAACATTTTCCTGAACTTGGTTTTTTTTTCATCTTTTTTATATCGTTTTTTAAATAACCTACATTTGCACCAAAATGATGTAGACATCAAATTTTAAAACTTTTTAAACACGATTGTGTATAATTACGAAACATGTATAGTATGTAAAAATTACATAAAAGTACTTTATATGTGATACTCATCCATACGGTTTCTTTCAGTGTACGAAAGATGGGAGTTTACCAAGCGACGTATTCCTCACGGTAATTCGCATGACCGACAGTCTGGAAGAATTAATGGCAACAAAGAACATTGTTTCCAAAGAGATAGCCCATTTACGTTCGAAGGATTCCGGCGGGGAGGATGACCTACCGGTAAAACAGCAACTGAACAGCCTTCTATACGTGAAGAAGATCTTAGAAACGAGGATTGTCAGCATGCAAGAGGGACTGGAGTCAGAAGCCGACGGGATCGGCTCTAATCCAGACTGGAACAGGTTGCTGATTCCTGGACAGAAATTAGTCAACATACCACTAGATGAGTTGCTGAAGAACAACATCGCACTGAGTTACTTCATCGACTACATGACTTGCATAAACGCGGAAGCCTACCTGTTCTTTTATCTAAACATCTACGGATGGCGAGTATCCGCGGAACAGCAGATCTCCGACATCGAGTTGCAGAAGCTGCGAGCCAACCACGTACCTTCAACTGGCGGTCTCTCTAAACAGAGAAACGCAGATTTAGAGAACCTGAAAGAAGCCGCCGTAAAAATCTATCAGCAATATCTTAGTGATAAGGCGTCGCCCAAGGTGCAGCTGGAGGATACGCTAGTCAGAAACCTTGTAACTAGAATAAAGACCGAGCCCATCAAAGAGACTTGGTTCGACGAGTTGCAAGCCTGCTGCTACGATAAATTGCAGAGTGAAGACAGGTTTCTCCCTGCCTTTAAGAGATCCGTCTCCTACGTGAAACTGTTGGCTGAGCTGGATCTGTTGAAGGACCCGGCGTCGGAAGACGACGCCAAATCTCTGGACAGCATCAGCGTATCCAGCATAGGCAACGAGCTGGACACCTTGGAGGAATTGTCAGAGAGCTACAAGGAAGACGAGGCAAAATCTCGAATTTCGAGGGAAGAAGCCAGGCCCAATTCAAACTCAACGTCCAATTTAGCCAGCTTAGTGGAGAAAGATCCAGTTGGTATCTTTGACGAAGTCGATACGTTTTCGACTACCCAGTTGAAGGAACCGAGGAGGTTGCAGAAGACCGCCAGCGCTGACGTCGAGAGAATAGGCGACCCTAAAGACGTGACATTTTACGTGGATTCGACCTCCAGCGATCGAATCGCCGAGTTGTCGAACGAGCAGAACGCTATCAAAAAACTTCAGCAGGGGCGCTTCGAGATCTTCGCGCAGATCATTGAAACGGGGATCGTGAATGATCGGGGGAAAACCTACGGCATTTACGCACTCGCCGTAACCAAGAGCTACGACTCGGGCTACCAGGAGAAGTGGCACATTTACAGGCGTTATTCGGACTTTTACGACCTACAGCAGAAGATCAAGGAAAAATACTACACCCTCGCGAAGATCCCCTTTCCTGGGAAGAAAGCCTTTCACAATATGGAGCGGGCCGTTCTGGAATGCAGGATGACAATGTTGAACAGCTGGCTACGGCAGTTGACCAGGCCGGTGATCGTAGAATCCCACATGGGCTTGCAAGGTCTATTGCTGGCCTTTCTAGAACAAGGGGATTACGACAAAGGGGTAACCGGCGGTCACATATCCAGAACGGTAAGCAGAAAGTGCTTTCAGTTCACCTTGCATAGTTTAGGATAAAGTCTCGACAAAAGTCAAGGCTTGCTGCATCGCATCCTATGTATTATTTTTTGTTTTAGATCGATACCCTGGTCAATCCCTTGAAGACGTCCGTCAAGACCGTTACCCAAGCGGTTAAGACCATGCCGGATAACATGTTAAGCACCGTAGATGGAGTCATGGATAACATAAGCAGGTTTTTCGGGAACCCAAAGAAGAATAGCATGCTCTACGAGAGTGTGAAAGTCGGGGCTAGCATCGATGCTGAGGTATTGAGGATTTCCTTGTTTTCTTTCTATCTTCTTTATACAAGATAGATACTTGGAAGGTTCTTCTTGATTTAATATACCTGTATGTTTATCAGTCCGACGATAACATTCCCCTGAGGATAATTCTGCTCCTTATGGACGAGGTGTTCGACTTGAAAGTAAGAAATCAGTGGCTGCGGCGGAGAATAGTTACTTTATTGAGGCAGATCATCCGCACCATGTTTGGCGATATCGTTAACAGAAGAATAGTGGAGTACGTCTCGTTGTTAACAGGCCCGAAGAACGTAGCAACGTACTTACGTTTATTCAAGTGAGTACTTCCGACTCGAACACTGTTCTAATCACGTCTGTGAATGTATTTGAAAAGATTAATCTTCTCTTTAAGGGGATGTGAAAGTGGCATCCGAAGAGTCAAATATAACGAGTTTAAAAAATATCTATGAACAAATTTAAAAAAAATTGAAATCTCACGAGTTGTAGGACCTTCCTTATAGTCTCCATATTCACATTGTAAAGTTTGAATCGATTTGGTAGACCCAGCTTGGAGAAAAACTTCATGAACGAGAACTGTTTGACGCCACTTTGACATCCCCTTAAACCTTCTCAAAACCCACTTTCTGGCTTATTTCCTAATTTTTATAAAGATATGCAAAATAGGTAATAATTACGACGTCCATATATTAGTACCCATGTCCTATTTTCATTGTCGTCTCGAAAGCCGAAAATTTTACTCCAAAAACTGTTATATATATGCCTACAACTCAAATTTGGTTGTTTCCAGACACTTTGCTTCCAATACTTTAACCCCTTGCGCTTCGATTTAATTATGAAACCACGCTATATGCATAATGAATCTAGCTCGTAATTGTAACGCAAAGGGTTAAACTTCGAACGACTTTAAAGTATTTTTTAATTTCTATGTTAAGAGTAAATTCATGTTTAAGAAGAATTTCATTAGAATAGTTAATTCAAGTGGAAAGTATCAAAGCTAATTGTGAAAACTGAATTTTCAGGCACAGTTTCTGGCCAAACGGCATTAAAGCCGAAGCAAAACCACCTCGGGATTCAGAGACGAAGAATAGAACACGAGTCGCAGCCAAGGTAGCTCTACTTTCTTGTCTCTCGGACGAGCTCAAGCATATCATCGGTAGTGATACCACGAGGCGAGGCCTTTTGAGGGTTTTTGAGCTCTTCCAACGTCCCGTACTGAACAGAAGACTGCTATACGTACTATTAGAGGGGATCATAGAAAATTTGTTTCCCCAGACGGACCTGGTAACCATCATTAGGAAACTGTACTCGGTCTCGCCAAGGGTGAAGGGAAAAGGTCCAAACAAGTCCTAATACGTAAATTGAGGTAATCGGTATCCCAGGACAGTGAGACAGTTTCCGCGTGTTTCTTTAAGGTGAAGTGAAACACGTCGAGAAATTTAATCGACGTCTGTAAAAAAATATTCTTTTTAATACCTACGTTGCCGACGTTCGTATTTATATCGACAGCTGTGCTGAATTACCTTGGGTATTGTACTAAATGGCATACTCCACCTGTCGTTTTCGTACAATAATTAGAAAGAAATCGAAATGGAATGCCAGAAATCCTCTGGATTCATGTTTTCTGGGGCCCTAATTGACTGAAGAGGGACCCCCTGCGCCATCTGTGATTTCCAGGTCAATTAAATTTTTCCTCCGAGACCTCGTATTTTCATCATTTTAACGTAGAAGCGCATAAGACACTTTTTTTTGCCTTTAGCCCGTTCAAAGGCGAGTTTATCGATTACCAGAGTGTTCTAAATTGTCATAAAATTGTCCTGACACTTTCGTTTCTTATATCAGAGCCTTCAATAATTGTATACTGATCGAAATATGATAGCTCGACGCCATTTTGGTTCAGGTCTGGGTGAAGTTAAAAAATTTTGTTGACAAATTCAAATTTTGAACATGTCAGGACAGTTCTTGGATGATCACGAGTCACGTGTCAAAGTTTTGGATAGTTTTGCCCAATACCCTAAAAAAAGTGTTGTATTCGAATCGACTGATTTGAGGGGGGGTTTCACTTCACCTTAAGGAGGCGTTGTTCAGGTGGAAGACGTAAGTTCAAACATCGAAGACTGCCGATGTGCAATGTGCACCCATTCGGTGCGTGTCGCGTTCAGTGGAGTTGTCTGGCAGAGCGGACTGCCTTAATGAAAGGGTTAAACGACTTACGGGGACCCATTAACTTGGGATCAGCAACATCTTGGAAAGTCAATGTCGGAGCCAGGTCTAGCAATCGAATCTAGTTCGTCAAGTCTTGATATTCCTAGATAATAAAAAAGTGAAATGTGTATATTAAGGGTACCAGAATACGGTTCAGAATTATTCTCATGCCGCTAGATTCGATAGTTCTGAATGGTATTTTTGTACGCCCAATAGTTTATATTCCTGTGTAAGGGATAGCCGTTAAGGTGCTGTACATTAAATGAAATTAGAGAAGGGTATGAAACGGATAATAACCATTTTCGACGGGGAACAATCTGATAATTCGAGCCTCGAGGGGTGAAGTCCGCTCATTCGTGAAGGTCTCGAAATAGGAAACCAGTGGCCAAAAATATTACATTTTATGAGTCTTTTTTTTTTTAATTTTAAAACCTTAAATGATCTAAACAAGTCTTGGTCGGACTTACCGTATTACATAGGATTATGCTAAACGAACTTCTTGTGATTACTTCCTAGATTAGAAGTCACGTTAGGAATCGTACAATCATTCCACTTGCATTTTAAGATGTACCCTTACCTACACAATGCCGAAAGACAACGTCATGTCGCTAGGTTGCACTTAAAATCTTCCGTAATATTTGCGGAATGCCATATACATATATACATAAATATATACATACATGTATACATATATTATTGTATAAACGGAACAACTTTCATAAAGTTCTAGAGCGCCGATAGTAATAATTTATTATGAGACTATTTAGCGGATCGTTACGAGTGCCATCGAGTCGGCGGTATCTATTTATTTATTGGACGGGTGCATGTAAGAGCCACAACAAATTAAAGATCTATGAACACTTCAGGACTTATACGGCGAGGAAACATAATATAGTGTACAAATCAAGAATTGTAAATCGATGTCGTAATATCCTGTATGTACATAAAGTTATTTCTATCGTGTTAAGAGCTAGCGTCGTTATTCTTTCCTGCGCCGTTTAAGTAGCATCTCAAATTGTGTAATCGATATTAATCGTCAAGATCTTTTAAAAAGTATTATGTCAAACGTGGTAAAATTTTATTTTTTTAAGCACTAATAGGAATAGAGAATGTCTTTCTCGACTACGAAAGAATAATGGTAAGTCGGAAGTCATGAACTAGCGGGTTGGATCTCCGTATAGATCATAGATCGGTTTCATCTCCTATTCTCAATCATTTCATCGAAAAGTAACTCTGAAGAATAATGATTTTTCGAAGAAAACTATTGCAGGTTTTCGGAAATCATACGTTCTGCATAATAAATGTGTTATGCCAACCGTATACAAGTTGCCCGTTCCATCACGTTTTGACGGTGGGTTAATTTTCATTAACCAGCCAAATTCGATCGTTTAGCTTCAGTGAATCGAACTTTAGCCTAAAGACTGCACAAACGCGAGGAAAACGTAGATTATATTGAGAATGTATTAACATTTTATAACGAAACAAATGAAGACGTTTTTTATTTTATTTACAATTTCTTAATGATCGAAGTACGCTTGAAAATATTTTATATTAATTCTTAACCAAAGGACTTTACTTCTTCATGCTAGGATCTGTTAAATGGTTTAGTATAATTCAAGGTGTAAAGTACGTTACATCTGACGTCATACCGACTACGTCAAGCTGTGTTGTTGGGTATCTCCTTCCATCTAGGTTTTATGTGTTCCCTAGGGAACATTCATTATTTTTTATATTAATTTCCGTAGCTTATAAAAATTGTATATAAAGTATAACTCAACTCTCGAGCACCCTCGTTGTAGTTTTGCCTGTATCATTAGCAGATAAAATAAATAAGGTAAGTGAAGGATAAAGTCAAAGCGGGCGCCACGAGTGTTCTTCCCTTACCATCAAAACGAGCAGTGTCGATAAACGTAGCTAAGTCCCCACCGTCAACTGCCGCATGGTATTACCAGAGATGAGTTGTGGGAGATTGCTCACGGGCAGGGTCGCGCGATCGCACCGTGTGCTGCCCTCTGGTTTCGTACGTTAGCTTTCACCGTTTTTTGCCCCCAAGGGCGGCGCAACGAATTTCTGGTAGGGGCTCGCGCAATCGCGATGGCTGTGCCATCTACCAGTTGCCGTTGG